CTCTCTCTCTCTCTCTCTCTCTCTCTCTCTCTCTCTCTCTCTCTCTCTTTTAAAGTATGAAACATAAACCTGGCTACAGCTGGAGGCTGCTGGGATGTGGGGCCCTGTGTTAATGCATGGCTCCTTTCATGAAATCTGGGGGCAGTTAATGGAGGTGGGGGTAGAGGAAAAGGAGGAGGAGGCGTGAACCTTTACACTCCAAGCGGGCTTCAGAAGAATTTACAGCCCTCTTTTCTGGAGACCATTACGATTTTACTGCCTCGGACGGACCAGCAGTTACAATGCTCCATAGAGATCTGTGCTGAGGCAGGCCAAGGATCCCGTTTGCTAAATCTGGAAAAAAGCCAGCCAGGCTGCAGGCTTGATGCTGGGGAGAGAAATAACCCTGGCCAAAGAGAGGAGGTGGGCTGGCAGAAAGAGGGAACCCCCAAAGTAAAGCCTTACAAAGTTGCCACTGATGCGCTGCAGTCGAACAGGGTTGGCTTTGGGCGACTTACCATCATTTATTAGCTTGTGACATTCAACAAGTCATTTAGCCCCTCCAAGGCTCGAATTTGCATTCCGTAATAGGAGATCATAATAGCATTTACCTTATTGTGAAAAACAGTTCAGCCCAGTGTGTGGCTCACAATAAAAGCTTAAAAGATAACAATTTTATTCTAATAGAATGAAGAGAATGGCTGAAAGAGGCTGCGAGCAGAGCTGACATTTTTTTCTAAACTTCAGTGTGCATGCACAGGAGGTATGCTTCTTTTCTTGACCCTAAAAGTCCCTTCTTTCTCTCATTCTAATCTGTTCAATATTTTGGGTGGGAGGAGAAGGTGAATAAGGAGAAAAATGAAAGAAAAAGAAGAGGTTATGAAATATAAAGGAGATCCAAGTGGAGAAATAATTGGAAAAGACAAGTAAAAGAGAATTATGTGAAGGGGATGAAAATGGCTGGAACATATGCAGTTGGGCATAGACTGGGCTGGACGCATGGAGGAGAGGCCGGGGAGTTTAAAAATGTACGGGGTTTAGTTTATTGGCAAACACCTCTTCTAGGGAAGTAATGACTCCTAGAAGCCATGAACTTTTAAAAAGGAATCTAAGCAATACAGCAATCTTTCCCAAAGAACATCGTTCCCAAAGAGCATACAGTCACACCGTATACTTTCTGTTAACCTCAATTCCTTCTTCCCAGCTCTCACTGGGCCATTGATAAATGGTCCACCCCTGCCTCCCGCCGTCTCACACCTGCAGACTTTATGTAACCCTTCAGGTGATCCTCCACACTTTGTGCTGCGCAGGCCTCTGTCGAAAGGGGAGAGTTAAATTATGCCACGCCTGCCAGCCTTGGCAAGTGAGCAATAAATGTTTGCTGAATGAATGGATGAATAATGAGGTCTATTTGAGGCAAGTCTACATCCAAGCCAGCTAGACTGCTAATGAGTATAGCATTCCTTCCTGGGGGAATGAAATGTTCTAGGATTAGAAAGCAATGGCGAGTGTACGGCTCTGTGAATGCCCTAGAATCTGTTGACTTGTACATTTTAAAATGATGGATTTTATGAGCTATATTTCAATAAAATAAAACTGAAAGCACAAACTGTAGCCATGGAGAAACACTGTGTTTTAGCACATGTTTCCATTCTAATCTTGACCTTGGTCCTCTTATTGTCTTTTTGGGTTGTTTTGCAAGTTTTTTCTTGGATTTTCCACTGCTCCAGAAATCTGGAAAGTAAAGGCAAGGATGGTTAGATCTCCTAGAACTCAGGCATCCATGTAAGAAGGGGTCAGATCTTCTTGAGTGTTTGTCTAGGGGCTCTGTAAACTTTTCCACTTGCAAATTTCTCAGTATAAATCCTTTTGAAAGACATGACCCCAGCTACCTGAAGTTCAGGATCAAGGAGAAACTAGACCATCAATTAGCTTCATTTTAATGTCTGTTAATCTTCACGTCCCTTTGTAGGACACTTTCTCTTCCCTAAAAGCCCAGGACATCTAAATGTAGAGAAATAGCTTTCCAGATGAATGAAGATGAACAAAATCTAGCAATGTATCCATTCTCTTCCGCTGACCTCTGCTCTGCCTGAACCTGCTTCCCCACACAGACCTGTGAGCATAGGCGATGTCACAGAATTGGAAATGATCGATTTCTATAGACATTTCCTTTTTGTGAGACCATATGGTTAGCTTGTACGTAGTACAGTGCCCACAGATTTTGTAACAAGTTTTCCAAAGCCCCGAACCACAACCACCATTTAAGACATCAGTAACCCGGCTGCTGAGACAAACGGGGCTTGGACCTGGAGAGATGATGGCTCCTTGGTTAACCTAAGTTTGGTTCCCAGCACCTGTGTCAAGCAGCTCATAACCACCTGTAACTCTAACTACAGCAGGTTGGAGACCTGGCCTCCAAGGACACCTGCACTCTGGTCCACAGGTACACACACACAAACATATAACTTTAAAACTAAAAACGACAAATGGGATCTCGGGTTTGAAGTGGTGAGTGACATCTGCTCTATTCCTACCAAACAAAGAAGAAATGAGTTCATAGACCATGTCTGCATCTCCTTTTGAGGGTTGTACCCAATGCTGTCTCCATGACAATCAGAGTCAAGCAGACTGTCTTCTGTTTCCTCCTCCTCCTTTCCCAGGAGCGTGTCTGAGGAGAATCGAACCAGAAAAAAGTGAAGTGCTACTTATCCAGATCCAGTCTTGAGTCTGAAAAAATAGGGAGTCTTCAAAATCTGCTATTATTTAGGGAGCTTTATTTAAAGAAGAGGACAGAAAGTTAGCAGCCATTGAAATATCCACCTGGTCAGTCAGCACAGCTTGTGATAAACCACTGAGGGCCTTAGCAAACATACAAAGTTAGGTTGAATGTAGCTCTTGGGTTCCAAGCCTTTACCACCCTAAGACCTTGAACTTATGATCCTTCCGTCTCCACCTCCAGAGTACTAGGAGTCTGATCATGCATCCCCATGCCTTGTTTATTCAGTGATGAGAATCAAACCCAGGGCTTCATTTATACCAGCATTCCACCAACTCAGCTGTATGCATGGCCTGGTGTATAAATTATTCTACAAAAAATAAAATGCTAATCCCATGAGTTTCTGCAGTCCGAAATGCAACAGAAGAGTGTCTGCTGCTTTCTTCATTTATGGGGAGTGTTCAGCAACCTCAACAGAATACAAGCTTAAGCATTTGTAGAAAGTGAATCATGAAGGTTGCAATACTGAGGTTTTTCCCTTCAACTCCAAGCCTATGCAACACCTTAAAAACCAGCCAAGCAAAAAGAATAGACGCCTCTTCTAAACTTGATTTCATGCTGAGGATGTGCCTGGATTATCTTGGCTAATTCTCACCATGAAACCATGAGAACAGCGTTGCTCCATGCCTTCTCACTCTTTTACCCACAGTTGCTCAAAGGTGCCCCTTTGTCGTCGTCGTCGTCGTCAGTTCATGAAAGACTCTTTGATTTGTTTGTTTATTCTCTCACACCATATATCATTTCCGTTTCATTCTTTTTTTTTTTTTTTTTTTTGGTTTTTCGAGACAGGGTTTCTCTGTGTAGCTTTGCGCCTTTCCTGGAGCTCACTTGGTAGCCCAGGCTGGCCTCGAACTCACAGAGATCCGCCTGGCTCTGCCTCCCGAGTGCTGGGATTAAAGGCGTGCGCCACCACCGCCCGGCCCTCCGTTTCATTCTTATTCCATGGGCAATATATGTAATCTTTATTTGAACATACCCAGGTCGTTGACATCACTCTGAGTACATTTATGTTTATGTAAGTGGATTCTGAGAAAATATTTTAATTTCTGAAATCAGGTATCATCAATGATCTGCCATAATTTAATCAGTGGGATTCCTTTTTTTCTTTTCTTTTTTTTTTTTCCCCGCTTATAAGAGTTTATTAGAGTTAAAGGGACAGAGTGCGCAGGCCTGTGGGAGAGACACGTGCATGGAGAAGAAGAAGAGGAGAGAAGAGAGAGAACCGGGAATATGGCGCTCCGCTTTAAAACCGGCTGGGGGCATGGCCAGGTCACGTCAC